GTGCAGGAGTGTCCCCTGAGAGCAGCACATCTGGATACTGCTAGCGAGGTCAGGTCCCCCTGTGCCTAGGGCCACAAGAACTGGAGTTCAATTAAAAGAAATCACGGTTAACCCCTTGCTTCCCTCAGCCCCCTTTTCATTCTCTTCTCTCCTCCCTCCTCAAGTAAAACACCAAAACCTCTTTTCCCCCCACTTCCCCTTCAGCACCACCATATGGGAGGCGCTAGCTCCAGAAAAAGCAAGAGGTTAAAGAGAGGAATGAAACGCATCCTTCCAAAGCCCAAATTATTTCCTCTCTGGGCAACATTAATACAACCCTCCAACCAGGAACGGTGGAGGTAAGGTCAGACAGATAATGTATACCCCAAAGAGAGAGAGAGAAGGGCGATAGAAAGAGCCAATGTCACCCAAAGACCAAGCAAAAGGCGTTTGGGTCTTTAAATTGGAATATGGACTCTTCTCTTTGATAGGCTAACGACTGGAGAGGCAGAATGATTCTGAACAACTGCATTAAAAAAGAATCTGAAATCTACAAATTGTATTCAAAACTACCTTGAAATTTACAAGCAGTGGTTCCTGATCATAGCACCCTCTCCAAAAGGGCAAGATAGAGAAAATAAACGCAGACGCTCGCAAAATCACGTTGGATCCCAATTTTTCCATAATTATAAGACTATAAAAAGTAACCTCTCTCTCTGTAACACACACACTTCAGAGATGTTTTCGGTTCTCAATACCTCTGTATTTAACTGCTAAATAAATGAAATATGATACCATAGCTATTTTCTTTGTCACTAAGAAAATGAGTCGAATTGAAGCATATTTAAGCTGCCTGATAGATCGGATCTATAATTTATAGACACTGTTTTGTCATTCACTCCTTCTCCTCCTTCTGTTTGGGCTAAAAAAAGTTGTGTGAAAATCCCAAGAGACAAAATAAGTGAACTTGTAAAACATTAAAACAGACAAGTTGAAAACACCATTATTTTCCCAAAATAATGTAACAAAAGAAGTTTTGCTTCCTGTCTTTCTCTTACTCCCCCCAGTTAACTCTAACGTTTGAAAAAGGCTGGGACATTCATATATGTGCTTTGCCAAACTCTGAATCATCCCTACTTGGTGTGCACTGACTAAGATTTAACAGTTTCATAGAAGCGGTGCAGGGAGCAAGAAATCCCAGACAAGACATAAAATAATAAAGGATACGATATCCTTAACGTTTAATATATTAATGCTTCAGGGGTTAGCCGAGTTAGTCTGTACAGGATAAACTTAAAAAACAACAAATAGTCTAGTAGCTCTTTCTAGACTAACAAACATGGCTCAGATAAATGTAAAAGTTATGTCAAAATGAAATGCTTGCGTGCAATTCTGGCAGGTCTATGCAACTTTTAGTCTGATGCTCGACTTTTTGCTGCCTCATTAGAGAAAGAAAATAATTATGATCCATTTAATTCAGTTATTGACAAATGGGACATTATTTGATCTTGGAACCTACAATAATTTTTACGTTCATCAATTTCAAATGTTGGCATTGAGGCAGGTTAAACCATTGGCATTTTCCCCCTCCCCCTTTATCCTTTAATTGAATCACACAGAGTTCAGCCTCAGGAGGTGGGTGTAACCTTTCTGAAACCAATGGGGGTATTCCAGAGGGGAATTTTGGCCCATGATATTTAGCCTAAAACATCCAGCAACAAAGGAGTTAATTATTCGTTGGAGTCCAGTGTTAGTCTTTCTCATGGGGAAAACCACGCAAATGTGTGTTTTTCTCTTTGGTTCACGCAGAAATATTTTGGCCACCACTTCAAACTTTTGTACATTTCTTTTCAATCTACTTTTTCTTCAAAGGCGGAACAGCTATCGCGACATAGTGGGGCCGGAGAGCGGTGGGAGTTGAATGTGTGTATGTAGGGCATTAACGTGCATGAATCTCCTTGCTGCTTGTTGGGACCAGACAGCATCACCTTGTGTTCTGGTTAAGGAGGCAAAATTTTGAGAGAGTGACTTTGAAAGGTCAGCCAGCCCCCCTGTGACCCTGCAACTAGAAAGTGTCCCGTTTCCCACAAATTGCTTTCAAAAGTTCCCCTTCATGAAAATAATTTCTAGATCTGCATTAGCGGAGGGAGGGGGGGTTAGGAAAAAAAGGGGGTGGGGAGATTGTCCTTATGCAGTTCTAGCTAGCGGGAAAAGTCCCACGACTTCATTGGGAGTTTCAGGGCTGTGTTGCGGTGTGGCACAAATTTCACTGCAGAATTAAAAGACGGTGTTGTTAAGATCCACGCTCTCTTAGAAAGCAAGGAAGGAAAGTCAAGCCTATAGCCCGAGCCCCATTCGAACCCACGGGCTAAAATTCCTCTTTCTGCCACGAGGGTCAAAACCGATACTTTGGAATTCCTTCAGATTTCCACCCATGCAACAGAGGCCTGGGGTGCAGGATCGGGTCCCAAGACCCAGCTCTCTTGCTCAGTACGAAAGGCTTTTTTTTGTTTTGGAAACACAAGTCCCCCCCAAAAGGTGTGTGATGCTAATACACCCTTCCCTCGCATCCAGTGTTTTGCGCGGAGAAGACACAGGTAGCTTTGAAGCTACAACACAAGTGTGCAGCAAGGTAGGTTACACTGTCCTGGATGGTTTTATGTAAGATCCCTGTCCCAGGAAGCCCCGCCAACCCAACCTCTCCACAATTATTGAAAAGTTAAGCACGACAAAAACAAATACCGAAGGCCAAAAACACAGACTGCAGCGCACCAGCTCCAAAAGCCTGGCCCCTCGCTTGAGGCCATAATTAATTTGAGATTTATTTTTATTGGAGAACCCAGTCTCGTCTGACCTTAGCCAAACAAGACTTCAGCGAGACCCTTGATGCGCTTGAATGGAACAGAATATTTCTCTCTAACTTCTCTTCGGGCGTCCGTGCCTGCTTTGAATTTGTTCCTCAGACTTCAGATATTTGGAGATTTGGAGACAAGATTTAAAGCATTTTCCCCCTCTTGGCATCCACTTTTTTAAACACAGTAGTGGAAAGATACAGAAGGGGCTGGAAAGCAAAATATATATTGAGAAAGAGGGGTCCCCCCCCCTTTAAAAGGTTAGACGAGGTAGTGACTTACAGGGAAGGGGGCTGGTTC